TCTCTCTCTCTCTCTCTCTCTCTCTCTCTCTCTCTCTCTCTTTTGTTGGTGTGTGGAGTTAGCAAACGGTGTGTGGAGTTAATCTTGCCCTTTTTTTTTTCCGTTTATTTTCCCTCTTTCCCTCTACCACCCGCCTTTCCCCCAGCCGTCCCACACCAGTCATACTGTTCCACATACGTGGCTAGTGAGATCGCCCTCCTGGAATCGGAAGTTCCGCCTGTGGAACGGTTGCCTTGCGGAGAACATTGTCGTTTTTTTGACGAGGGATAGAGAACATCGACGTTCTTTTTTTTTTGCCTCCGAATTCTGAGTTTTTTTTGTTGTTCTTTGGTTGTTTGTTTTTTTGTTTCATGTCGTCTTGTATTTTCCCTCTGATGTCCAGGTGTTCTGCACTTTGCGTTCATCGTTTTTGCTTGTTTCATAGCATTTCTTTGCCGCTCTGACGCCGACTTCGATCTCTGTTGCGAGTTGGCAACATTCTCAGAGGGTTCCGACATCGTCTTTTTTTTTCGCGGTTGGCGACTTTCATCATGTCGCAGGAGCGGGGGAAGGATCCGGTAGACTCGCTCACGACCGCCCGACAAGGTCATAACACGAAGACGTTTGACTTGCCGTTCAAGGTCGACCCGACAGTCGACGGCAAGCGGGACGACCCGGTGTGGCATTTCGTGGCCAGAGGGCGTTATTTGGATGGGTCGACGGTGGCGGGCAGGAAGAGCGGTCGTCAATGCCTGTGCAGGTTGTGCGGGCGTACGATTTGTGGGGGCGCTAAAGCCGCCAAGGAGCACTTCTCGAAGAGCGAGAAGTTCCGATGTGAGGCAGCCACTCCTGCTGTGTGGAATGCGATCTGGTCGAAGGACATGACAAAATGTCCAAAGGAGTTCGCGTCGGCCATAGAAACGTTGCAGAGCCACTTGCCAGGTCATCCGAGCTTGCAGTGGCCACCTCTTCGATTCCCCGAGGACGCAGTGCCGCCGCTGGTTCCTCCCACCGCCCCTTCTAGAGCCGTCGCATCGCCCAATTCTGGGGCTCCGGCCATTCGAGTCACGGTACCGCGTCCTGCAACAACAGTTGTAACACGACCGGCAGCCCCGCCGTCTGCGCCGCTGGCTGGGACACGAGGTGATCGCGATGTGGGAGTTGGTTGTCCACGCCATCCAACGAGCCCCCGTCTCTGAGGGATGGTGTGGGTTCTGCGGCATTTGACGAGGAGAGCACACGTGCATTTATTGAGAGTCACAGGTGGGGGGGGAGTGCCGGCAGTTCAGCGCTCGCCCTTGTTTTCAAGAGTGCTAGGCAGTCAGATGCCGCACGGGGTGGTACTGCGGTGGCACCTGGCGCATCACCCCGCAGTTCGTCGGAGCACCCCTGGCTGCCACTGCCACCGTCGAGAGCGGCGCAACATCCAATGGTCCACCACGCTCACGGAACCGCCCACCCGGATCCGTCACACGCACCTGCAGATGCTCGACATTCTGCTTCCGTGCCTCGTTTCGGGGAACAGGTGGATCATGGGGTGCCTGCCGAGGAGGTCCCCGCTCCGGTGTCCGATTCATCGCCGACCCCTGTTCCGACAACCACGGGCGGTGGTCGGTCTGCCCCACAGCCTCCACCCGTGTTGACCGAAACGTTAGACCCTTTGCAGCGCATTCGTGACCTTGCAGTCGCCCAGAGCGCGACACCTGTGAGCCCTGGCGGGTTGTTGGATGCTAGGGTCTTCGGCGGGAGAGCTACGATGGGACGATGTCGGGGCACTTACAGGCAGCAAGCCGTCACATCATATTATTCGGACCCTTTGCAGCGCGCATGGCATCTGCAAATCATGCGGTTCATCGTCGAGAGCGGGATGCTTTGTGACGATGCGGAGCTGCAGCAGGCCTTGGTCGAGGCCCTTGTCCAGTTCGGTTACCCGGAGGATTCGCCGCAGCACCGGGAGGTCCAACGAGTGGTCGCCAAGCTTCACACGAGGGAGCCCCCTTTCAATGAGCTCACCATGCGGCGAGCTGCGGATATCTTTGATCACCCTGCCAGTTTTTTATCCTCAAAGAAGGCGAAGTTCCCTCACACGGCCATGTTTGCAGGCAGGATCCTTCGTATATGGGCGACCGCCTCACCGTGCGAGAGAGCGTGGTCTCGTTGGAGCTTMATTCATTCGAAGTCTCGCAACAGGTTGGAGGTTCCCCGGGCTGAGAAGCTTGTGCGGTGCCACTGGAACCTCAGGCTACTCGATCGACCTTCGTTGTGCGACGATGGTGTTGGAGAGAGGTCCGGCGTCTTCGGAAAATGGGTGCATTATTGGCAGGCCGTGGAGGACGAGGCAGTCGTGGACCAGCAGCTCGTCAGAGTCACCGGTGTTCTGGCGAAGGTGACCGAGGAGGAGTTGAGCCTCGCCAGAGAGAGGATGCGCGCCATTTCCCGCATGGGAGCCGAGCGTCGGGTGGCGGAGTCGGACAGGAGGCGACGCAGGGCTGGTGGTCGGGAACGTGGCGGCCGTGGACGAGCAGGTGTCGGAGGACGTACACGTGGCGATGCGGGTTCCGCTCCTCGGACTCGGCGACAGCGGACGGATGGTGGCATTCGCAGGGCCCGCATGCGTTGGGACGAGGGTGACTTCTTGTTCGACAGCACATCTAGCGACGACAACGATTTCTTTGCGTCGGGAACACATGCATCCACGGGTGATGATAGAGGTGACGCTGACGACAGAGGCGATGACAGAGGCGACGGTGATGACAAAGGTGATGGCGCAGGGCCCGGGGAGGGGGAGGGGGAGG